AGGAGGAGGACAGAGACGGCGGGGTGCTCTTTCACGTGAACAAGAGCGGCTTCCCCATCGACAGCCACACCTGGGAGCGCATGTGGATGCACGTGGCCAAGGTGCACCCCAAGGGGGGAGAAATGGTGGGCGCCATCAGGAATGCCACCTTCTTGGCAAAGGTCAGTGGCTTCCAAGGAGGGGGGTGGGGTGGGCGGTGATGGGACCATTTCGGTCTATACAGAGCAAATAAGAGGCGATTTCCATGATCTGGGTCCTGGTGAAAACTCCCTTCCCTTCTCCAGCCTTCCCCATACCCCGCCCCTTCGCTTAATTGAGATGTTTGTCTTGGAAGCCTTAGAAATGGGGGAGGGAGAGTTGGTGGTCTGGCTGTGCTGAGGTTTCTTTGAATCTCTATCCAAAGTCTATTATTTATTTACTCACCCCCAAGTCCATTCTTCCGCAAGAGCTGTAGCCTCTTGTAGCATCAGCGATGCCAAGAATGCATAGGTCCCCTAGGGATCCCACCCTGCTTTTCCTCTTTGGAGTCTTTTGGTCCTGCCTCTCCCCCTAGCAAATGATTTATTAGGCCATGAATGAATTTGACTCAACCAGTCAGACTTCTCAGCGTGAATCATTCCTAGACTTTTTGCCAAATTTTTTTTTTTTTTTTTTTTTATGACAGTGACTTTCACCTCTGAAACTTGAAAACACAGTGAACTGTCTCTTTTCCCAGCTTATCTGAGCTCTAAGAAAAAAAGAAGTTTTGGCCACGGCTTAAAAGGGACTTTCCAGTCTACATGATAAATTAGTCTCAGTGGATAGAGAAAGAGGCTCAGGAGTGGGACTCTTTCTGCCTTGGAGAGAAGCCAGTGAGCTGATTGGGTTTGGTGGCCAAGGATAACTTCGCAAGGTGGAGGGAGGGAGATGTGCAGTAGTTGCTATGTGAAACATACCGTGCAAACTGGGGGAGAAATGCTGCCAGAGCCTGGGGGTTTGCAGCATGGCAGATGGTTTCCCTTGCACCCTGGGGACACTGTCATGGCTGAAAAGATTCCTGGGCAGGTCTAGGAATGCCAGACCTGAGACCTGGAAGGCCATCTGGTTAAGTCCCCAACCTGGAGCATCTGGTGACCTGAGCAACTGAGCCCTACAGGCCAGAAAGCTGTCTGTGCCCTTGGGGTAAATGACAGAGTCTGTATGCTTCCTGCTGCAGTCAGTGACAGTGTTTTATTACTCTGCTGGTCAAGGAGCTCTTCACTGCCTGCTTTTAGTGTCAGCTGTAATTACCCTTGCTGAGCCCTCCTTGAGTATGAGAACAACGTTGGTCCTGGCTTGTGGTTTTGACTCGGAATTTGTCCTTACTTAAGTGAGCTTTTCTTTACTTAAGGACGAGCTAGGAGCCCTTAAACCTGGAGGAGAGGTGGCCACAAGGGAACAGGGGCCTGCTCCTACTGTCCCATGCTGCCTTTCTAATTTGGCACCCTCAGCGGCAACCCTGCTTCTAATTGTGTCTTCATCTTTCTCCCTATCTTGTATGTGGGACCCCCTTTCTCTATGGGAATCAGGGAATGTTAGTATTGGTGGAGATCAGTCTCCCTTCCTCGTTCTGAAGACCTCCTGAGAACCGAGGCTCAGTGCCTCACAAGGCAGCTGGTCCCAGGCCTGGCCAGATTTGATTGGTGTGAAAATCTTTTCTGAGAATGAGCAGAAATCCTCCTTCTCTCCCCTCAGTCACAAGTCACCCCTGATTCTTGTGTGGCCCTTTGAGCCAGAACAGCACATGTCAACTTTCTTTGCTACTCACAGCTCCCTAGAATGTCACTACACAGGGCTCTTAGAGTAAGGAAGGGACTGAATTCCAGTCCTGGCTGTGCTACCTCTAGCTTTGTGGCCTAGGTCACTCGCTTAAAATCTCTGGTCTCAGTTTTCTCATCTATAAAATAGGAGTAGACCAGACTTCAAGTAAAGTTATTTCCAGCTCTCAAATCCCACAATGTTATGACCTGTGAGTCTCTGGGTCTTGAATGCTGACCATTGTGACAGCAGAGGTGCACTGAATTATGAGTCTTCAGAACTGTGACATTCTGTCAGTCTGCATCCTCTTCTTTGTCCATAGGTAGCCCCTTTCACCTTTTCTTATGTGTTAGAGTTCCCAGATCAACTCACTCTCCTCTGACTCTTTCTAGGACAATCGCTAGTTTGTCATCCGCCAGTCCCCTAAAATAGGCACATATGAAACACAGTATTCTAAATGTTGCCTGAGCAGCTTAGAACATTAGAACATAGATCATTGCTTTCAGAGACCTCCATTATGGTGGCTAAATGCTGTGTTCTTAAAAAACAGCAGTCCCTTTTTTTATAGAGTGGCCACATTGTACTTTTTGTTTTTGAATTCTCACCTGAGGATATGTTTTTGTTGATGTGAGAGAAAGAGGAAGGGAGAGAGAGAAAAACATTGATGTGAGAAACATCCATCGGTTGCCTCCTGTACGTGACCCCACCGGGGATCGAACTTGCAACCTTTTTTGGTGTATGAGATGATGCTCCAATCAACTGAGCCACCTGGCAAGGCCACATTGTACTTTTGTAGTAACTCGAAAGTCTCATGCAAACTTCTGCCAAGCCTGGACAACCCCAGCCTGAGTGTGGGTGTTGGCTTTTTGAACCTAAGTGAAGAACATAACATTTCCCTCTCTTATAGTGTGTCGTAATGGTTGGTTCTCCATCCCCAACCCCATCATGGCTTCATCCCCTCCCTGGTCCTGACATTCCTCAAACCCTGACTCTTACACAGACCCTGAGATGGGCCAGCTGTAAAAGCTCCTGTTTTTAGGGACCTCTCCTCTCTGATTCAAGGGCTATTCCTGCACTCAGCTTGGCAGACTTTTCCCTCTGGGGCCAAGTCCTTTGCTCCTTTAACCAAAACAACGTTTTACTGAGGAATTTGTAGAGAAGAGGGGGTAGTGGTAAAAGGGTTGGAGAGTTTCAGGGAGATTAAGTGGATGGAGGGAAGGTGTCAGAGGCCTAAGAGGGGGACTGTATGATACTACCTTTGACTGCAGGACATTCTGTTAGCAGCCATGGTAAGTTCTGCCTGAAGGTCCTGGTGCCTCCTGGGGTGCAGGAGGTGGGGGAGCTCACCTGCTCTGCCATCTTCCTTCTAAATTTTCTACCGAAGGCCTCTCTTCTGTTGGTTGCTGGGTCTGGCATTAACAGTTGAGTAGATGAAGGCCAGGAGTTTTCAGGGATAGTGCAAGAAAGCAGCTCAAGGAAGTTGGAAAATGATAGAGGATGGGAAGCTAGGGGCAGAGAGGTAGCTGGCTCAGAAAAGGACAGCTGGGCTGTTTCTTGCAGAACCCGCGTCCTTGTGCCTCATTCTCACGTTGATCCCAAATTGGGAAGTAATTCACCTTTAGAGGACTCAGCTTTGCCTGAGTGAAGAAGTGAGAGCCGTGGGGTGAGACTTCGTTGCAGTCAGGGCTCCACTCCTGCCTCCCACTGGCTCACACAGGCAGCTCCCTCCCTCTCTTGTTCTGCATTCAGAACTATCCGTGTGTCTTTCTTGCTCAGCCCAAGGTTGTGACCCCTGGGCCTCTGTGGCAGGCTACCACCAACAGATTCCCAGCTGCCGCTGATGCAGGGGCCTGGGGCCCATCCTGGACTCATGAGTGATGTTCCTTGCTCTCCTCCAGGAGATTCTCCTGCCCGGTGCCTGCCAAGTGTATTTTTCAGAGCAGGGACAGCAAAAGGCTTTGCTTTGTTTTTGTCCGTTCTTGTTAAAGGATTCCCGGTGCCTGTGGGGGTCTCGCTGCCTCCCTGGCTCCTCTTCTGGCTCCCCCCTTCTCTCCCACACGGTGATGCCATGGTGATGATATGCACTTGTGTCCATCCCCATGCCTTGTCCTTGCATTCCTCTGACAGGTCATTGCATTGGGAAAGAATGGAGTGAAAGGGAGCCTGTCCACAGAGGCCTGGCCTGTGGTTGGTTTCACCATTCTTGACCAGCCATCTTCCTGTCTACTCCACTTCCTCCTCCTGCCCCCCACCCCCTGGCCACAGGCACAGTTTGGGAAGGGTCGTTTTGATCTGTGCCCTCTAAATTCTGCCTCCATCAGCTGGGCTGTGGCTTGAGGGGGCTGGATGCAGGTGGCAGGAGGTGGGAACCTTGAGGGGAGGGGCCATGGAAAATCGAGGCTGGCATTTCAGGAAATAGGGCAGGAAAATGATATGAGGAGGGACTCTTAGGTCCCCTGTTGGAGAGGAAACAAAAGGAGTGTGCCCTGGCCTTTTCATCAAAGGTTGTCCCCATTTACGTTCCCATAGCACTGTATGGGAGCATCCTCGCCAGCACTGAGTGTCCGCGTTTCAGGGTATCTCTGCTAAATGGAGAGGTGGAAATGACATTCTGCACTGGCTTTAATTTGCATTTCTTAAGTTATTAGTGAGTTTGAATTTTTTTTCCTCAAATATTTATTCACTACTTGCATTAATTTTTTGGTGCAAATTGTGTTTTCATGGCCATTTAAAAAATTGTGGTAAAATATACATAACATATAATTTACCTTTTTAACCATTTTTAAGTGTTCAGTTCTGTGCATTGTAACATCACCACCTTCCATCCCCAAAACCTTTTCTTCTTCCCCAATTATAACTCTGTACCCCTTAAACAGTAACTCCCCCTTCCTCCCTCCCACCCCCAGGCCGGGGCAACCACCCTTCTCCTTTCTGTCTCTATGGCTTTGACAACTCGAGGAACCTCATATAAGAGGAATCGTAAAATATTTGTGACTGGCTTATTTCACTTAGCATAAGGTCTTCAAGGCTCATCCATTTTGTGGCACATGTCAAAATGCCCTTTTTATGGCTGAATGCTATTCCATTGTTTGTACATACTCCATTTTGTTCATCTGTCCATGGACACTTGGTTTGCTTCCACCTTTTGGGGCCATTTCTTTTCCTTTGAGGCCTAAAAGGTTTTCTTACCACTTTGTGTGAACTCTTCATGGTCCCAAGGGGAAGTGGAGGGTTTCCTTCTCTTTTATTAGAGTGAGAAGACATCTTAGTGATGCTCCCGAGTGTCCCGAGTGCTGATTCTGTTTTCCTGAAAAGTGAAGACATTTCAGGCTTCCCCATTCTCGACCCCTGAAGACACACTTCAGATGAATTCTAAAAACACAGCTAACCCTTCGACACCACCGAGTGCCAAGCCCTGAGCTGCCTGCTTTATACATAGGTCATGTAATCCTCATAACCAGCCCAGAAGGTTTGAAGTAGGTGTTAGTCTCCTATTTTATCAGGAAAGAAACGGAGGCTTAGAGAGGTCATGCAGCTTGACTAGGGTCCACAGCCAGCAAGTGACAGAGCAGGGACTCGAGCCTCGTTGGGTGCGTAATCACACCTGAAGGAGCCCACCTGGTTAATAGTCCATCGTCCAGCGGGGGCATTGTCAGCCCAGGGGCTGGTTGGGAGCAGAGTCCCAGTCTGAGCCCCAGTCAACTCTCCCAGATGTCGGAGTGAGCTGTAGTCAGATGATATCATCCCTTCAGCAGCCTCAGCCCCTCTCCCCACCACAGCTCTGCTCCCCAGCTGGGATTTGGGGAATGTGGCCACTCGCTCTCAGCAGGGGCTGAGGTAACCAGGCAGCTGTTTTTAAAAGCCCTTGGGCGCCACTGAGCTGCTATTCTGAGGACCGGCTGCCGCCCGACTCCCACCCCATGGCCCTGCTCTTGTGGGCCTGTTGGGCTTGCTGGAGTTGAAATAATTTGGTGGTTGGCCCCACGGCTGCCTTGGAACCCAGTCACTCTGGCCACTTTAGGACTGTGGCCAACAGAACCCGCTCTGGGCATCCCTTAGGTGGCCTGTGCTTCTATGGGGCATTTCCCCATGCTCACCAGCTCTTCTATTAAATAGGTACCAAGAGCACTTCTCTGTGTAGAAATATGCCCCTGACTTAATAAACTGTGTCATCCACCACCCTTCCTCTCTATGTCCCTCCCCCTTTGTACCTGCTCTAGAGCTGGGAAAACAGCAAGTACTAAGGAGATGTTTGTGCGCATCTCCCATTCTCTCTTTGCTTCTCTGAGGAATTTCTGGCACGTTCTTACACAGAATTCCCAGTTTGGGTAGATCAGTGGATGTTACTGCACAAAAATCAAGGACAAGCTGGACACTTCCTGTTGTTTGTTTAGGGCAGAAACACAAAGATACGCTTCATCTTTTAAACATGTTTTCATTGATTTTTAAAGCGAGAGGAAGGGAGAGGGAGAGAGAGAGAGAAACATCCATCGGCTGCCTCCTGCACACCCCGACCCCTGTTGGGGATCAAGCCCACAACCCAGGCATGTGCCCTGACCAGGAATGGAATCAGTGACCTCTCGGCGCTTGGGATGACACTCAGCCAACTGAGACACAACAGCCAGAGCTACATTTCACTTTTTGACACTCTGTGTGTGTGTGTGGAGGGGGGAACCATGTGAGCAAATGTTCTAGTTGGAACAGTTGTTCCCAAAATTGACTCTCCAAGACAAGAATGTGATTTGAGTTGATGTGTTGTAATCAAAACGTAGTCCACAGAACAGCTGTGTGTGTGCACACCCTTACATTCACACACACACAGCACCTTGGCTGTCAAGTAGGAAGTCTCAAAGCCAAGAGAAGACAGAGGCACCGAGAGGAAAAGAATGTCAAGTAGCATTTTAAGCAAATGCAGCCTAGGGTATGAGCAACCCCCTACCACTCCCCTCCTCCTGCCACCCGCCTCAGGCCCAAGGCCCACGTACCCACCAGCTTCACTGTGGGGCCTGAACCCAGGGAGCCAGGGAGAGCTCTGGTGCCCAGCCAGGCTGCCCAGCACTGTCCCCAAGTTGAGGACACCAGCGGCATCTCTGTCCATCAGCTAAGCTCTAAATCCCCTGGGCCTCCCCTTCCCTGTTTTCTCCCAGGAGGGAACTAATCTGTCCTGAGGCCCCTCCTGCTCCCTCCTAGGCGCTTAGGCCTGGAGGAGCCTCCTCTCTCCCTCCTGCCAGCTGTACTGCCAGGGCCCAGACCCACGTGGGCCGGGTGCCTGTCCCCAACGGCACTGCCCCACCAGAGAGGCCGAGGGTAAGAGACTGAGGAACATATGGGGGGATAAAGCAAAAACCTTCCCTTGCTTCCAGAAGTGACTGTGTTGGAAGCCCCAGCTTGTTCTCACTCACGGCCTCGTTGGCAGCCTGTGCAGCGCTAAGTGCTGTCTGAGCTCTAAATTCCTGAGAAGAGGCGTTTACCCCCCCCTCTCTCGTCCCTTTCTGCCATTGCTCCTTTCTCTTCCCTGCAGGGCTTGTAGACACTTGATGAGTGTTGACCAAGAGGCAGACTAGGAAATGAAGAGGTGGCTGGGCAGCCCTGAGGGGAAAGGGGCGAGTTGGCTCCTGAGTCAGAGGAGCTGCACTTACCTGGGAAGGTCAAGGCAGGAGGGGACTCTTTGCTAACCCACTTGGGCCCAGACTCGGGGAAGGGAGGCGATGGGCATTGCAGGGGATGGTGTTGAGGAGAAATGGTGGCTGTGGTGCTATGTTGCATTTCTTCAGGGCACCACTCACCTGCATTCAGTGGTGCCCTGGAGTGGCACATAGAATGTGTTACGCCAACCATGCAGCAAAAGGTGTAGCCATGCAGTAAAAATGTAAGGGCTAGTGGAGCACCGCTGTGAACATCCTGGGCCAGGCTTAGTGGGGATGCTACAGGACATGGTCCTTTGCCTCAGTGAGTGGCTGAGGCTCCCTGAGGAGGCTGGCTTTGTTCACACTGACAGCACACAGGGCCATAGAGAGTCACTGTGACCCATGGTGGAGTGTGTTTACAAGGAATGCAGAGAGGACTTCAGCAAGGGACCGATCGGTGTGGGGAAACTTTGTCCAGGAGGTACCATTTGAACAGGTGACCATGGTAGGGTGACCGTCTGCTCCCAGGAGCAGCTCTCAGGTGGCCTCAGCCCTGTGCCTGCCCCCAAGCACTGGGCCCCAGAGCATCTCCTTGATAAAAAAAATCTCTCTCTACTTCTCTGCAGCCTTCAGTACCCCAGGTTCCAAACTACAGGCTGTCGATGACGATCCCTGACTGGCTCCAGGCAATTCAGAACTACATGAAGACACTACAGTATCCTTCCAACCAGGGTCTGAGCAGACGCAGCCAGGGGACGGGCATGGTGATCGCAAGCCTGGTGGCATGTCCTTCCCCAGCTGGTCAGCAAATGCTCTCTAAGGTTGGTGAGGCCGGGCATGGAGGGATGCCCCTATGTGAGAATCTAGGAGTGATAGCAGGATGTAATTGCAGTGATCAGACCCTCCTCCCTTTCAAGCAGGACATGGGCCAGGATGGCAAGAAGGCAGTGAGGCAGAGGTGGCCACCTCACGCCCCCTGCCTCCCATCTCCTTTCTCCCTCTTCTCCTCAGTCGTCTTTCCTCCTCTCTTCCTCTACGGTCTGTCTTTCTCCCCCTTCCCTCTTAGTCTTCTGTACCTTTCCTTTCCTCTCTCCCTTTTGCCTTCATCCTGACTGTTCATAATCTACTGGAGGGCCCACCTGGCACTGCCTTTGGCTCCCCAGGTGGCCCAGACTGGCGGCCTTGCTCCACAGGTGGCCCAGACTGGTGGCCTTGTTCCGTCCCACATGAATGAACGGGGCTCTGGGACGGGGCCCTCTCCCCTCACTTGAGCTTGGAGAGCTGGACCCTGCGGGTCCAGGCTGGGTTCAGACCAGCCAGGCTGTGGTTTTCTCTTCCAGTGCTCTCAGGTTGTTTGCAGTCAGGATTAGATCAGTTCTGAGGGCCCGCGGGAGCAACACGATGTCAGAACAAAGGGCCAGAGGCGGATGGTCCACTGGCTGCTCTGGTGTTTTATCAGGGTTGGGAGTTAGATGGGAGCTGGGCTGGCAGAGGTGTAGGTGAGAGCTACAGGCCGTTTGCCCAAGCAAGTCAGTAGCACCTCAGAGTTACGCCAGCATCAGACTCCCTACAGACCCAGCAGGTTGTCCAGGAGGTCGAGCCTCTGCTGACCTCTGTCCTTCTTCCCTGCAGACCTAGAGCTTAGCAGAAAGGGTTTGACAGGGCACTGACCCCTGTCCCATGTGCCCTGGAAGAGAGCCCTCCTCTCTGTGCTATAGGTAAGAATCTTGCCTGTGGATTTTTGTGACTTCCATGAGGGGATGAATACTACCAGATGAGAATAACACCAATTCTGCTGTTTTGGGGTAGGCAGGTTACTTGATTAGCCTCTCAGTCCCCTCCCACCTTACAGATCATGGCATCTTCCCAGCGGAATCCTGAAGTGATATTAGAGGGAGAAAGTAGCACCAGCCTCCAGGGGTGAGGCAGGCACCTCCAGCCCTGGGAAGACTAGCTGGTGCTGTGCTGATCCCCAAACTGGGACCCCCACATGGGGAGCTTCATGTGGTCCAGAAGCATAAACTCCTTCCAGGGTAGACCTGGACCCCAAGACCTGAGCCTTCTTGGATGTGACTGACTCCTCACAGAACGTTCCAGAAGGTGACGCAAATTAGAATGGCTCCCCACTTCTATCATTTGACCAGTGAAGAAAGAGAATGAGCCTGGTGGGGACCGCATTGATGGGGTGAATTTGCATTCGCGGGTGAACCTGGCAGCACATCCTCAGCCAAGTTTTTACTGTTGCCCTGGAGGAGCTGCTTTTGCACTTTCCTCTGATGCATTATGATGGTCACTGACCCAGATCACTGACTGCAGAGAGGGCTGGAGAAGGGAAAACATCAGCAGGCTGTGGACTGTGCTCTCTGTCACTTGGCCAGTGGAGCCACCACAAAAAGAAAGCAGAGTGTGGCCTCTTTTTTCTGCTTTCTGACCAGACTTTCGCTTAGTTCTTTGGGATTTCCTACTGCTTTGTCCTGAAGGGCGTGACCAGTGCTAGGGTATGGGGACCTCTTGGGCTAGCCGTGATTATAGACGTGCTCAGTGGGCAGTGACAATACGGAAGGATAAATCCTGCCTTTCCTCTGATAGCCTCAGAGCTGTGGCAACGGGAGTGCTGATCTTGCATGGGGCTCTGGAAAGAGAGGTGTCACCTGAGCTCTGCTGAAGGTGGACACGATCAGTGAGTCTCTCACCTAAAAGCAGTGTTTACAGAAATTTCCTCCCCAGCTCACTTGCAGGAGCTAATTATTAGGAATTCAGAAAAGATGGCCAGGTGATTTTTCATTTTTATTAAAAAAAATTTTTTTTTTTTACTGATTTCAGAGAGAGGAGGGAGGAGAGAGAAACATCAATGATGAGAGTCATTGATTGACTTGATTGGCTGCCTCCTACACACCATTCTCTACAGCTGCCTCCACCACGGTAGGGACATACATCTAACCTCATACACCCACCCTGCCCATGTTAATAGCTCATGCTTCATTAGCAATTCCCAGTATATACTTTTTCTATGGGGTTTTGTTTGAGGCAGGATAGGGAAATGCACAAAGCAGTGTTTCTTTAGGCTCAGAAAAATCAAGATCCAATCTCAGAGAAGAGAACAGGACATCAGGGAATCTTTGGTCTCATTCAGAATGACCCGAGACCTCTGGGCAACCAGCTAAAATCCCAGGTTGTAGATAATGTTGTCATCTCACATTTAGTGATCAATGTCAAACGTCAGTTGGGGCATAAAATGAAAGTGATGTCTCCCCAGTAAGCTTTGCTGCAGTCGATTCCATCCATTCCTTCCATCATTTATTCATCCATCCACCTGTCCATCCGTCCATCCATCCATCCATCCATCCATCCATCCATCCATCCATCCATCCTTCCATCCACCCACCCACCTACCCTTCTACCTATCCAGCCAGCCAACCAGCCAGACATCTTTCCAACCATCCATCCATCCATTTATCAATTACATTTATCTTTTCTTCTTTCCTTTCATCCATTCACTCATCCATCCATCCACCCTCCCGCCCTTCCATCCATGAAACCATCTGTCCATCCATTTGTCCACCCATCCATTCACTTATTCCTCACTCATTTAATAATATTTGCTAACTGGAATATGTTGGGCTTGTGCTGGGCTTTATGGTTGATATATGATAAATAAATGGTCCCAACTCTCAAAGAGCTTGTAGTCTAGTAGATGAATTAAGACATGTATTCAACTAACCAGGATACAGAGCAGATTAACTATGGCTATTCTAAAGGCCCAAAGTGCTTTGGGGCCTAGGTTAGAAGTTAGATTTCCAGGCAGGACAGTGAGGAGTTAGAGGATGTTGACTACCTTCTGGCTACTGGACACCTTCTGGAAAGCCCTTATTTCCTCATGTCATTGAGAAATCAATGCATAGCTCCCTCTGCTGGATTCCTGGGACCTTTTGAGTTTTCTCTTACTTTCCCTTTACATACTTCACACAGATACAATCACACAGGGACCCAGTTCTTTGAAATTAGAAAAATGAGACCACTGAGTGGGTAAGTGGTGCATGATCTGTGGGCCAGGTGATCTCTTTCCTACCCAAGAGCTGCTTACTCCCTCTACCACCTTCTATTCCTATATCCCAGTGCTCAATATCCTAGTCTGTAAGGGGTGGAGATGGGGGGTGCCCCAGGGCCGTGTTGGGGGTGGGGCTGGGGTCTGGACCACTCTGCTGACAGCTAAGCTCAGTGGTAGAGAATAACTTGTTCAGGGGGTGGGGGAAGCCTATGAAACTTGTTTCATGTGGCCTCCTTTATTGGCTCTATGTAATGCCCCGAGTCCTGGGGCAATGGGAGAATGTTATGGATATGGGCACTAACATCCAGGAACTAGCTCTTGGAGAGAGGAGTGGAGAATTTAGGATTTTGTTTCTGCCAAGTGCAGATGTGCTTTGGCATTCTCCCCTTTCCCTCTGGATTCCTGCATGGCGCCTAGTGTGGAGACAGGCATGCTGATGGATTGGAAGACAGACCAGCTGCATCATTAAATAAGTCCTGAGACCTTTTGCTGTGCTCTATCCTACAGGTTAATGGAAACAGCGAAAGAAATGACTCGCGAGTCCTTGCCTATTAAATGCCTTGAAGCTGTCATCCTGGGCATGTATCCTTTACGTCACGTTTGCTTTAGTTTACGCCATAGATGGTGGCCTCACTATGGAGCCGGTTGTGTCTTTAACGTCTTAGAGCCACAGAAGTGATGGCCATTGTCTCCTTGGAGGAAAGTATCAAGCTCCCCTGATGTTTCTCTTTAGCGCCCACTCTCTGGAGTTGAACCAAATCAGAGTTTGGCTCCTTGGACCATCATCAGTGTAACCCATTAGCTAAAGCCTGCATCAGGGCCAGCTCTCAGGCCAGCATCACTAGTCGCAAGGAGAATGCGAACTTGGAGGGACTAGAGAGAGAGTGTGCATCATTGTTTTTTGCATTCATCTGGCATTGCAACAGGAAAGGCCCTACTCAAGGGGAAATGAGGTCCTCCAAACCCAACTCCAGGGAAGATTCTAAGAGTGGATTGTGGAGGAGACCGTGTAATGGTATAGTGTCCTGACTCTACAGAACATGGAGCCGTAACGAAGGTCTGGTCCCTCCCATGCTTTCTGTTCCATTTCCCACTAGACTCCTGACTCCTTAGCTCAGTATGGTCCAGAAAACCGATGGCACTGTTAGTGGCAGTGGCAGCAGAACATGCTCTGACAGGAGAGCAAAGAAACCCCCAGTCCTTTGGGGTGATGGCTAGAAAGGATGGCGACCAAGAGAACAGGGCAAGACATGGGCTTGAGAGATGGTCCCAAGTAAGGCCAGTTAGGTCCTTGGGCGCTGGCCTGAGAAGTGTGACCTTTTTCAGAAAGGCATAGGTGGCCCTGGTAAAAGCTCTAGAGCAGAGGTGTGACATGATCAGGGGTGTGTCTCGGAGAGGTCATTCTTAGGGCAGATTAAAGGGCAGACTGGAGAGGGCTGGGGCTGGATCTGCAGAGCCAGGTAGGAGCTGTTGCATGAGGGAAATGGTCCTGGCAATGGGAATGGATTTGAACGACAGTTTCAAGAGATATGAAGGAGGTAGAATTTACAAGTCTTGGAGGCCAGCTGGGTGTAGAAGTTGATGAGGAAGGGATCAACAAATGCAGGTTTCTGGATTAAGTGACTGTGCAGGATGGGCTGGAGGGGTGAGAATGACAGAAAGGTGAGACAATTCACAGATGTGAACTAAGCAGCAGTGAAGGCGACGGATGGTGTTGGGGTGTCATTGACACCACTTGTGGACTGATTAGCTGTGAGGAGTTAGAGGAGACAGAGGCAGTGACTCCACATTTCTAGCTTGGAAAGTTGGGTGATGGGATAACACTGCAACAGTCCAAGGGCATGACTTAAAAAGGAAGATCAGATTTATGGGGAGATGGGTGCAGATTTGGACGTGTTGGATTTGAGGTGCCTGTGGGATGTGGGGTGGGGTATTTGGAGTGTAGAGCTCAAGAGGAGCTCTGCACTGAAAATACCAATTTGGGAGCTGTGTGTTTAGGGGGTGGCAGATGCTGTTCCTGGATAAGAGAAAAAGCTCCAGGATGAAATTTCACTATTTTTTGGTCTAGTTGACACAAAGAGCCTGTAAAGGACAGCTCGAGAGGTAGAAGGAAAACCGGGAAGGAGATATAGAAATCATCGGAAGGATGGGTGGCTCAGAATCAGACTGGGGACAGTGAGGCAGGCCCCGTCTGCTTTCTGGTCTCCTGGACATTTTTATGGAAAGGGGACTTTCTGCCCCTCGGCAGTCTGCAGAGCACTGGCAGGCCTGATCTGAAACAAGAATGTTCACAGGTGCCCGGGCTGACATTACAAAAGTGGAAACTTGAGCCTTACTGAAGCCCCTTCCCAACCCCCTGTCCGATTTTCCTCCCTGCTCCTCACAGAGATGAAATGGGTGCTTAGGGAGCCCAGCAGGAGGGCAGGACCTGGATAGGTGTGGGCAGCAGATGGCTCAGGGCCCCTGCTCCTTCGGTGGCAGGAGTCAGCACAGCTGTTGGGCAGAGCCTCCTGCAAGTTTAATGGGGTGAACAATTGTTGGGGATTTGCTGGTAGAGATCAGAGAAGGCGATCACAAGTGCAGGCCCTTTGCTGGGTGGACCAGGTCACTTCAGAGCGTCTGCTGATGGATGTCTGAGTGCATCTGGATAGAGGCCGTCTTGCTTTACAATAGTTATGCACACGGTAGTCTTGTCCCTGTGCACATTTATAAATTCAAGCCTTACTTGAAGTTGCAGGAATTACCTAAAAGCTTTAGGTTTGTGGGGATAGATCTGTGATGAGCCTCTGTGCCTGTCCATATCCGAGGATAGTGTGCTCTTGGTTTTCCTTTGTTCTTACTGGTGTGACATTTTAGAAAAGTGTGGGGAGGGTGGAGAAATTCGGCTCACACTGCCGAACTCAGGGAAATTTGACCCTTGAACACAGACCAGAAACAGACCTAAATTCTAAAAGTTACAGCATCTTTGTCTTTGCTCTTTGCTCTGTGTCAGCATCCCTGTGGCCTGCTTTACTCAGGGGCACAGTGAAGGACAGGACTTGGGTCATCTGTCTGTGCCTCCTCCCTTTCCCCCACAGGTCCTGGGAAACTGGTGCCTTGGCAACCTTGACTGCTGCTTGGAAGCCTGTGTCCTTCGTTGTTAGCCCAGAATTCAGGATTCATTTGCAAAGAGCCACTGTTTTCGTCTTGCTTGTGCGCATGTGCACTTTCTGTGCATGCCGGCGTGATAGACCTTTGGTTCCAAATTACTTTTTGAATAATGGCAACTCTTTTGGGGCCCTTGCTGACCTTGGTGGGGCTTAATTATGGTCCTAAAGTATTATGGTTTATTTACGTAACAGGTTCATTAGTAGAGGCACGTCAGGCACAGGCCCAGCAGGCTGGATGCTGGGACCTCTTCCACGGGTTGGGGCCCTGCTGTTCCCTCTTCCCTAGAAAAGCTCAGGCTCCTTACCTGCCCTCATCCATATGACATATCCTTGCCCCCTCCTCCCCAGTTCCCAGTTGTTCCACAATTCAAGACTTTACCGATGGCCCTAATGATGGAACATGTCCTAGAGATTAGTGACGTGTGACAGGATGAATTGGTAGTCTCTCCTGTTCCCTCCCCGCTCTTACTTCTCCACGTGGCTGACTCTACTTGTTCCATAAGACTAATTTTGGGGCCTCTTCTCTGCTCTCCTTTAGGTTGCTGGGCTTGTCTCTTATAGCACACATCACATTGTGTTTTTTGTTTGTTTGTTTTTTAGTTTTATTGAGATGTAATTGACATATAGCACTATATAAGTTTAGGGTGTACAGCATAATGCCTTTACTTACATATATTGTGAATGTGGGGTTTTAAAAATTGTGATAAAAAGTCATAATACAAATTTACCACTTTGGTAAAAAATATTTTTTTAATCCTCACTTGACGATATGTTTATTGACATTAGAGAGAGAAGAAGGGGTGGAAGAGAGAGAAACATTGATGTGAGAAACATCTATCAGTAGCTTCCTGTATGTGCCCTGACTGGGAATGAAACCCACACCTTTTTGGTATACAGGACAACACTCCAACCAACCGAGTCACCCGACGGGGGCTGCCCCTTTATTATTAAGTGTACAGTTCAGTGGCATTGAGAACATCCACATTTTTGTGCAGACATCACCACCATCCATCTGCAGAACTTCATCTTTGCCAACTGAAAGGGCGCCCATTAAACACTGACTCCCCAGTGCCTCCTCTCCCCAGCCCCTGGCAACCATCATTCTACTTTTTGTCTCTGTGCATTTGACTGCTCCAGGTGCCTCATAAAGTGGAATCACACAGTATTTGTCCTTCTGTGACTGGCTCGTTTCCCTTCGCATAATGTCTTCAAGATTCATCCATGTCATAGCATGTGTTGGAATTATCTTCTTTTAAAAAATTGATTGTTGGCACTATTACAGATGCCCCCCATTTCCCCGCTTTACCCACCTCCCCCCAGTCCTCACAGAATTATCTTCTTTTTTAAGGCTGAATAATATCCCATTGTCTGTAGACAGCCCACTTGTTTATCCATTCACCTGTCCACGGACCCTTGGGTGGGTTCCCCCTTTTGGCAGTTGTGAAAATGCTGCTGGGAACACGGGTGTGCAAATATCATCCCTGCTTTCAATTCTTGTGGATCTAGACCCAGAAGTGGAATTGCTGGTTCTTAGGGTAAGTCCATGTCTAGTTTTGTTTTTTTTAGGGATCGCCATTCTGACCATAGTGTGTCCCTTTGGAGTCTCTCTCCCCACCAGACTTCCAGAGAAGGGCTGCGTTCTCCACCTTTGGCCTCACAGCCCTGCCCAGCAGGCTGATGTGCCAGGAGGTATCACTCAGTCAGTGTTTGTCACACTGACTTAAACAACGACGGTATGCCCTATGCCAGCCCCAGAGAACTCGCCCCAGAAAGCAAGAAGGAATTATGTAAGAGGCCCCAGAAGGATGTGATCTCCCTCCCTGACTGCCAGTTCATCTCACATGATGAAGTGAAGAGAAAGCAGAGAAATCATTTTTAGAGAGAGCAACCCTCTGTGATCCAATTGAGGGCAGAGGACAAGGCTGACCCCAGGGCTGTGGGCTGAGTTCTAGCAGCCTCCTGCTTTTAAGGGCACCTGCATTAGCCCCCCTATGTGCCAGGGAGGGGTACCAGGATGCCCAACACAACTCCTGCCCTCGCAGTGTACAAACAGACAATTAGAACGCTGTGTGAGTGCGTCGGGAGTTCTTGAGGCCGGGGTGGGGATACCTAACCCGGGCTGAGGAAGGCCAGGGAAGCTGTCTACCTGGGAAGGGCGAGAGGACAGTAGTGAGGCTGTTCCAAGGGGTGCAGGCTGTGTGAGCCCATGGCATCCTCGTTACTCATGATTCTTAGGAGACCCTGAAGATCTCTGCCAGGTGTGAACCCCTCATACTGAGAGGCCAGTGGTGAGTGAAGGCATAAAAGAAGTTAGACTCCTGATAGGGACATGATTTAGAATGTGTTTAGTGGCATGTTTTCAAAAGTTGCATAGATCACTTGGGCCTCATAGCATGGGAATGTAGACGTCATTTAAAAGGCTTTCATTTCTTTAGTGACATTTGACTTCACATTATGGGAGGGTATATATGTGCTGAGGGCAGTGGGCACAGATCTGGGCATTGATTATGGTCTCAGGGTGTAGCCTTCAAAAATGTCACGGGTCTGCTGTTGGTCAGGGTGCTAGTCCAGGGTGTGGGGAAAATTAGACTATACAAAGGAATGACAGGCAGGAACTCAGTCGTGGCAGGACTTTGCTAAGGGATTGGGTGCAAGTCCTGGGGAGGATGACAGACACTGAAAACATAAGCAGAAGAGTGACATGTACCAAATTTTGGCTTAAATAGATCATTCTGGCCACTGTGTGGAAAGTAAATTAGAGTGGGGGCAAGAAGTGGCGAAGACAAATTCGAGAGACTGGAGGACTGTCCCCACTCCCAGAGCCCTTGCTGTGCACCAGCCACCAGTTAAGCACCTGGATTGTTGTTACCCGAGGAGCACTCTGGAGTCACCGAACATGTTCAGCCCAGGAGTGACTTTATGAGATGCCAGTATCCCTCTCCATAAAGGCCTTGTCCTTGGGTCTCCAGGGCCTCTCCAGGGCTGTCCAGGGACTTTGAGATGGACTTGAGGGTGCGGTGCCTCTTGTCCGTTGTCCCAGAATGTGGAGTCAGTGGGGCCGTTACTGGAAGCTGCACCCTGTAGGGTTCCTGAGCCCAAACAGAGGTAACAGTAAGGGGCTGGGCTCCTCCATCCAAAAGGCCAGTGTGTGGGGAGAGCAGGGCTGTGATGCCAGGTGGGTAGGGGCCTGAGGGGAGCTGGAGGTTCGGGTGCTGCAGGCAGCTTTCTGTGTGGTCCCCAAGACTGCTGTCAGTGCTGTGACAGGGCCATTGAGTGGAGCAGACAAGGTGCCCATATGACCCATTCTGACACCTGCCCCTTACCGTCTCGTTAATCAGCCAGTCTGTCTCTTTCACGTGTCCGTTGCCTTGCCTTGATTCTGGTTGTCATTTCCCCCCTGAACATAGCAGAGGCCTTCAGATCAATTCCTGGTCTGTCCCACATACTCCAGCCAGGTTAATGTTTGAGAACATCATTCCGACTGCACTAAAAAACCCTTTAAAAGCTTGTCATCCTGTGTAAAACCGAGGGAGGAGAAAGTACCTTGTTATTGTTTTGTTTTGCATTTATTTAAGCACTAAAGAAGATGGCATGTGCTTCCCCTTTGCCCACATTAATTTGGTTTTGGTGCATCATATAGTAGGTACTCACAGGTAGGGAGTGAATCCTTTCGAAGAGGATTAGTCTGGAAAGGTTGGGTGTGGGCCTGCCCAGAGGCAGAGGGATGGACTGACCCATGGGCCACTCTCCCTTCCTGGGAGCCCAAGCTCCGTGAATTTTCCAGGCCTCCTTTCTCTTCCTTGACTCAGATTATCTAAGATACCTAACCAATGGACAGCCTTCCATTGAGCGGTTCCCCATCAGCTTTAAAACCTACTTCTCAGGAAATTACTTTCACCACGTCGTGCTGGGGATTTATTGCAATGGCCGCTATGGCTCGCTGGGCATGAGCCGAAGGGCTGAGCTCATGGATAAGCCGCTGACCTTTCGGACTCTGAGCGACCTTATCTTTGACTTTGAAGACTCCTACAAGAAGTACCTGCACACAGTCAAGAAGGTCAAGATTGGGCTTTACGTCCCCCATGAGCCTCACAGCTTCCAGCCCATTGAGTGGAAGCAGCTGGTCCTCAATGTCTCAAAGATGTTGAGGGCTGACATAAGGAAGGAGCTGGAGAAATACGCCAGGGACATGAGAATGAAGGTAGGTGCTGGGAAGGCAAGTGAGCAACACAAGAGAGCTCCCTCTGGCTTTCTCTCCCCCTCTCACGTCCCCACCCCCTCTTGCCCCATGCCCCAAATCTCTGGGATAGTCGAAAGTTCCTGGAGGTTATCTTCCATGGTAGCCACCCTATTAAAGTCTCTCTCTGCATACACTACCTCAAAAATGAGAGCTAAAGTCAACTTAGATGTTACAGTTAAAGCAATGCCTTGGTTTGCAGTTCCTTCCATGAAATTAGTCTAAAATGTTAGTCATTTTCTACTAAGGCCCTAGTTTTGTTGTGTCTTTGTAATAGAGTGGCCAATAATCCCAGTTTCCCTGAAACTGAAGGGTTTCCCAGGATTTGAGATTTTCAGTACTTAAAACTAGGAAAGTCCTGCCCTGGCCGGGTAGCCAGTTGGTTGGAATGTCTTTCCTGTACACCAAGGTTGCAGGTTTGATCTCCAGTCAGGGCACATACAAGAATTAACCAATGAATGCATAAGTAAGTGGAACAACAAATCTCCCCTCTCCCTTTCTGTCTCTCAAATCAATTTAAATTTTTTTTTTTTTTAAACCAGGGAAGTCCTGGGCACATCAGGATGAGTGATGGGTTGCCAGCTTTAGAACCTATTTCAGAGTCACGTTGTATCTCTGCTTTGCTTGAGAAGTTGCAAAGCCCTTTGGCAAAAGATTCCAACCTGGCGGCACAGTGGCAAACAAAAGAGCAGGCACTGTGCTGGCTTTATATCAACTCTACTCATAAGCCCTCTTCCTTCTACCATGTCACTTCCAATGGGACATGATGCCTGCTTGACCTTGTCGCTCCAGGGCCTGTGGAGTCACTGAGAGAAGCCTGTACAGGCACTGAGGACCACAGGGGAAAGGAATTATCCAAATTCAGGCTTGGTTATGTTTAGCACATGGGGACTTGTCATCGTCACTGTGCAGGACCTGGAGTGAAGATTCTTGGCAAATTGAAACCACTCTGTGCGTGTGTGTGGCTAGAGAGTCAAAGAAAGAACACAGTGATTTCTGGGGCAATGTTGATGGGACTTTGCCTTCGCGAGAGAGGAACGTGCTGAGCAATTAAACACAGCCCCAGGAGGTGGAGACACTGGGCTCTGCCCCCCTCTCTCTGCCACGGTAGAGGGTGCACGCCAGAATCATCTCCCCTTTGCCTCTCACCAGTGCAGCATGAGAGAGGAGCATCTGTGTGTCAGACCTCCTCCTGGAAGTCTCCCAGCTCAGGGCCCTCTAAACCATGGGACCATGAGTGGGCTGGGAGCTGGGATACGGTGCTGTGGGAATATTCAAGAACAGGGGCCATTAGAAACCAGCGTGCTAACTCCTTATATCTCCTCCAGATCCTGAAACCTGCAAGTGCCCACTCGCCAACCCAAGTGAGAAGTCGGGGGAAATCCTTGTCCCCCCGAAGGAGACAGGCAAGCCCCCCGAGACGGCTCGGCAGGCGAGACAAGTCGTGAGTAGTATTTCCTCACATTTGTGGGGTTTTCCTGGCCCTGGGGACAAAGCTGTGTCATGGGCTTTGCATTTGAACCAAACCATGATCTCAAAAAGGACCAATCCTCATTCAGGAGACATCTGAAAAGTATCCACCATGCATGTCATCCCTTTAACTCTTACTCTACTGATAGTCAACTGTAGACACAGGTGGAGGGATAAGCCCCAGACTGTGTGAGATGAATAGCCCCAAATCCTGGCAGCATGGAAAGACTTAGGATTAGGATCCTGGGTCTGGAGCCAGCTCAGCTGCTGAGGAGCTATGTGACCGTAAGCACATCATGAAACCTTTCTGGGCTTAAGTGCTCCCACCCCTCAAAATGGGATTGTTGGAATTGATGAACTTTCCTAAAACCCTGTAGCCCTCTGTACCCAGCAGAAAGTGTGATCACCCTCTGTGGGTGGTGGCTTCAGAAATACCCACAGGCTCATCCTCTCCCTTGGCTGACTCTACTCTCCCCTGTTTTAGCCCCGAGGCCAGTAGTTGCACACCTACATCTTAGGTCAAAACGACCCACTTACAAAATGACAGATGAGAGATGCTAAGGGTGCCCAAAGTAACCAGTGATAATCCACTGGCAGATATTTGGGCCATAATTACACTGGGGAAAAATAATGCTGTTATTAACAGCAGCGGCCTGCTATGTCACATGAGGTTCTCACCATGCTGGGACCACATGGCACGGCACTGAGATCCAGGTTGAGCCCTTGCTTTGCCGCACATCCTTCTGGAGCCTTCGTTCCCTCATCCGACTAAGAGGATAACAGTGCTTTCCCCACCCATCTCACAAGGTGTTGTCAGGAGCAAGTTAGAGGGCGACATGGGAATGACTAGTTAATGATGTTATTATTGTTACGTCAACCCAGTAGAGTAAGCAGGCAGACTTTTACAATATTCTTTCTCCAGTTAAGATACCAGAACACCAAACAAGTTTGTTATTTGTAGCTGGCCAGTTATGGAACAGGGGCTAGAACCCAGCTCCCCTCCCTGGCTCTGAGAAGGAGGTGGTGTGGGGCGGGTAGTGTTGGTTCTGTCTTTGGAAGAACAGGATAGGACAAAGTATCATCAGTGCCAAGGGAGGTTCCCTGTTTGTCTCCATTCACTTCCCACTGCCAATCCCAGGGTTCAGCATCTACAGCCAGGAAGGCCTTGGCTAAAGTGACTGGAGTCCAGGGTTTGAAAAGGGAGAAATGACCAAGTGGGAGGGTTGGGTGATCCCATAGCAAGAGAAGCTGGAGATCAGGATGGTTTCAGCATAGGTTTGTCCTTTTAGGGAGCAGGATGGCTTTAAACCTCTCTGCAATGGCCTCTGACACTAATCCTGCCCCTAATGCTGACCCTCAACTCTGACCCTAACCCTATCTCTCCTTTCTGATTCAAACATCCATTCATTGCTTTCACTAACAAAGTAGCAGTGGTCTCAGGGGACTATGAACATGTAAACCCTCCCCAGAGGGTCATTTAGCATCGAGCGAGGGACCCAGAAATAGGAATCTGATTGCTCATAAAGCAGGGGAGGGGGCCTTCTAGTCTGATTTATTATCCTTTCTGCCCAAAGAGGGCTGAGGCCTTCTCTTAGGAACTCTTAATCTCCAGCAAATGTTGAGCAGTCCACAAAGCCTGATCTTCCCTCTAGATTCATGCCCAGAGCTCGCAAAACCCTAAACTTTCTACCTGATGGATTTAAGCACAGAACGGATGACAGCTGTTGGCTTTTAAGATGATTCTTGTTGGATCCATTTTTACTTGGACCGACAAGAACTTTGCAGCCCATGGCATGTTCAGTTTTTAACCAGAAAATGTTACCGTGGTTGACCAGTGATGGTAAAGCCAATAACATCTCAGAAATTGGTTGTGCAGACAAAAGTCAGAATGATAAGCTAGGTGGTGGTGGTGGTTTGAGAAAAGTGGAGGAGGAAGGTGCCTTTGAGGTTAGACTGTGCAATATGAGATGTTTCTTAGGCATCCAGGGAGCGTGTCCTAGAAGCTGATGAAAACTCAGATCTGGAGTTTGAGGAAGTTGGGGAATAGAGAACCATCTACTTAGAAGTGACTGTTGAAATGATAGCTGGATAAGTTTCAAGGAAAGAAAGAAGTAATGCCAAGGCCCTGAGCAGGCCAGGGGAAGAAGAGCCTGAACAGGAGATTGGAAGGGAATAGTCAGAGAGGTTGGAGCAGTGTGAAGGGCATCGTGGGCTGCAGAGGACAACTGTTAAGAGAGTAGCGGCAAGGGAAGCGGGGAAACGGGGAGCGTTTGCGGTAGATGAGGAGTAGAAGTGGATGGACTGTACATTAAATGGCTTTTATACTGCCTGTGAAGGGGGCTGAGTCACCTGGGAGTGAGGAAGAGAGGGCGGGCCATCGGTACCCGGTAAAGGAAGGGCTGCACACAGCACCGGGCTCAGTGGAGGAGAAAAAAGGGTCCCGTAATCCTGTGCTCCACCTTGAGCAAGCAGGGAATCACCCGCAGGGCTTGTTAAAGCAGATTGCCTGGCGCCTCCCCGAGCATTTCTGATGTAGCAGATCTGGGTGGATCCTGAGAACATGGTGTCCTAACAAGTTCCCAGGGGATGCTGAAGGGGCAGGTCCCGGGACCACACGTGGAGATCTACTGTTTGATCAGTCAGAATGGGAGAACTGACTGGGGCGTTGGCCTTAAAAAATAACAATGTCAAGATGGTCTGCTGAGAGGGGCCGATGAGGCCATCGAGTGTGATTCAGGGGCTCGGCCCTGCCTAGTCCTGCCTGGGCTTCTAGATAATGAGGTTGCTTAGGTAAAACTAGAGGGTATGACCCTGGCCTGGCCCCACTGAAATCACTCTGGGAGGAGCCCAATGGCTCTTTCTCCTGGAGGCCAGATAGAGAAACCCGGTTCTCGAGAAGTCCTCCCCCAGGCCTCGAGAGGTGGGGGCCACTGGAAGAACTGAAGCCCCAAGCCCCCCACCTTCCAGATCCCTGCTGCCACCATGGCTCAGACTAGAACCCCAACACCCTGGTTCCCAGAGGCGTGTCCAGAGAAAAGCAGTTTTTCACTCGCCCATGGCTTCCACCAAGCAGGCTTTTCCCCAGGTAACCTTGCTGTGGGCGAGAAAATGAGAAAGTGATGAGTTTGGTTATGACCCAGTAACTCTGCCAACTCTGGGACCCTGCTGTAGAACGGTCAGGACGCAGTAGGGTTTGGGGACTCTGTCACCGAGTTTTTATTTCGGCATGACATAAGGCCATCGAGTCATTTCTAAATGTGTTGGGTGCCATAATGCTGCTGAGGAGTGGCCCAGAGGGTGGAAAATGCCATAACGGGCAAGAGGCCCATCAGCTGTGGGGCCCCAGCCCATCTGTGTGGGTAAATTTAGGGGCTGTACATCTCCCCTCCCCATCCCCGCAGCTGGAGCTGCTTCCAGCCCTGCATTCCTCTCTATTTTTGCACTTGTCTACATAATCCTTCTGGAAAGGAGGATCAGTGTCACTGGGCTGACAGTCAGCTGAGTGGCATGTAACAGTGGCTGCACCTGCATCAGCTCAGACAAAGTCTCAGGAGGGAAACGGCCTCCCCCGCTCCCCACCCACGAGCCCTTGCTCGTACTCTCTCCCGGGGAGCGTCGAAAGCACCTCCACACAGAACAGTCGCCTTGTTTCCCGGGGCTCTTAGAGACAGGGAGGTGGAGGTTGCCATCCTTGTTGGAGGGTCTTCTGCGAACTTGGTGAACCCTCCGTCTTCACAGTTCCTGGCCTCACTGAGGGGCGTTGTGAAATACAGTGGGAGGGGAAATGAAGAGGGTGCTCCCCACTGGGGCCCGGGGGTGCCAGGGACGGTAAATGTCCCAGCGAGCGCAGGGCCTCCCTCCCCAGGAAAGAGCCAGGCCACCTACAATGCAGCAGCGGCTCCACTGAGAATGTCCTTTGGGGTCCTTTCCAACTCTGACAGCCCACGGCTCTATGCTGGCCGCCTGCCCCTGGGAGAGTAGGGGTGAGGGGACAGTGGCTTTCTGGCTGGACTGTGTTAACTTGAAAGCAGCTCATGCCCACTGGAGTGACCACGTGGAACGGTGCTGTGAACTGAGGCAGGAGTCCCGGAGGAGCCGTGAGACCTCTGTCTTCTCTCCCCCATCTGGTGCCTTTTCCCCCTGTCGCCGCCCCCCCCCATCACCCTTCGTGCTGTTCAGGATTCTTTCACTATTTTTCTTTCCTCTTTTATTCGCCTTCTTCGTCATCTTGCTCTGTCTGGGAAAACCCAGTCTTTATCCTTTTGCGGAGGGACCAACCCCGCAGGTCTTTCCTGCTGTTTCCCTCCTGTGTGTCCCCTTCACGACTCCCACAGACACTGCATCTCTGACCCTGCCCGTCACCACCAAATGTGTGCTTTCCCCCTCGCCAGGCAATTCTCTGTGACGCCGGCTGGGTGTCCTGCAGTGTAACTCAGTTCTGACGCCGTCCACCAGGAGGTAGCGTCAGATCCCACAGGCCGATGGCTCAGCCCTACAAGACTGCCTCCCCAACACATGCTTCAGGTGCCATCCAGAGCCCAGGTTATTGGTGCTTCTGACCAGCCGGCTACAGGTCGGAGGATCCAGTGACCCCCTCCTCAGGTCCAGTTGCTTCACCAGAGCGGCTCATAGAACTCAGGGAAACTCTTACCTACATTTACCAGTATATTAAAGGGCATGATTTAGGGTGAGAGGCCCCAAGTGCAGGAGGTTCTGTCCCTGTGGAGCTGAGTGTGTCACCCTCCCAGTGTGGATGTTGTTTGCCAGCCCGGAAGCTCTCCAAACCCTATACTTTTGGGGATTTTTTAGAGGCATGGCTGATCATTAACTCAATTTTCAGCCTTATCTCTCTTCTCAAGAGAATAGGGGGAGAGGGGGCTGAAAATTCCAAACTTCTAATCATGGCCTGGCCTTTCTGATGACCATCCCCCATCCAGGAGCCCACCCAGAGTCACCTCATTACTACAAAAAATG